AGGCAATAGCAAGGGAAGAGATTACCCATCCTTCTCCTGTGGAGCAGCTGGTGGATTCAAACCCTGCCTGAACCCTGCCTTTGGGATTGCAGCAGAGCTTCTTAGAATTTCTATTTTACCATTTTAATTATTTTTTTCTAGGAACTGCCAAACAAGGTTTTCCACAGTGCTGTACCATTTTATATTCTCACCAGCAGTGTATAATAGTTCCAGTCTCACCAACATTTGCTGTTTGCTCTCCTTTTAAACTTTGTTATTGCTCTGGAGTGAGATGGTATTTTTATTGTTCTTTTGATTTGTATCTCTCTAATTACTGGTGATTTTGAGCATTTTCTCTTGTTTTGTTGGCCCTCAGAATGTCTTCCTTGGTGAAGGGTTTTCTGTCCATTTTATAACTGGACCATTAGTCTTTTTCTTGTTGCAGCACGGTGGTATTCTATAAATTTTAGTTGTGAGTCTCTTGTCAGAAATGTCATTGTCAAATATTTTTTCTCAGCCTGTAGGCTTTTTTTCTCACCATACTGGAAAGGTTTTTTTGATGCATACCAGGATTTAATTTGTAGAAGTCCTGTTTGTTGATTTTATCCTCTCTTGGTTGTACATTTTGGCTATATTTGAAAGATTCATGCTTTCATATATAGAGTAGGGCTTCTAAATTTGTTCCTGTTATTTTTCCTTTTATTATCTTTATGGTTTTGGGATTTTGCATAATGTTTTATTTATTCATCATAGTTATTTTTATTTTTAAGTATTTTTACTTTTCCTCCAAGTAGAAAAACATACATTCTAAAGCCTATTTACTTTATCATGTAAAACAATGTGTTTGCATGAATTAAAACCCAAGTGGTTTTATACTATTGGCAATTGAAAATATCTAGCATAATTTCTTAGGTCATAATGTTGTTGTTATGTGCTGTCGAGTCGTTTGCAACTTATAGTGACCCTATGTACAACAGCTCTAAACCGTGCTCTATCCTGTGCCAATCTCATTGCCTCTGACACACCCATCCCAAGTACCCCAGTCACTGAGTCAATCCGCCTCATAGAGGGTCTTCCCCTCCTGTGCTGTCCCTCTACTCTACCCAGCGTGATGTCCCTCTCTAAAGACCTGTCTCTCCTTACAACATGTCCAAAGTATGTCAGATGAAGCCCCAGAAACCTTGCCTCCAAGGAGCAGCCTGGTTTAATCCTCTCTACGATGAATCTGTTTGTTTTCTTGGCAGTCCATGGTACATTCAATACTCTTCTCCAGCACCACAGCTCAAAGGCGTCAATTCTCCTCCTATCCTCCCTAGTCATTGTCCAACTCTCTGATACATAACAAGTGATTGCAAAAACCATGGCCTGTATCAGGCGGACCTTAGTCTCCAGAGAGACACTGTTGCTCTTGAGTATTTTGGAGAGGTCCCTAACCGCAGACTTTCCCATCCCAATACGTTTTTTGATTTCCTGGCTACTGGTGCCAAGAGTGTTGACCGTGGAGCCGAGCAAATATATTAAATGAATAAAAACAATGATTTATTTTTTAACTTTTGCTGTTTAGATATGGAGAATAACTTAGAGGAAAATTAGATGAAACTTTCAATTTAAAGAAAACTTTAAGGAAGAATTTACATTTCATTCTGAGACTGAGGACTTTGGGATTTTGCACTGTGGTCTTAGTTATGGTATCAGATCATTGAGAACGTGGTGTCTGCAGTTAGAATGACTTGACTTTTGAATTCTGCAGTGTAGTTCAGTCTTAGAAGAGTTGTTTAAACTCCAAGTCTTAGGCTACCTAGTTTCTGAGGTAAAATTAATGTCTCAAAGTGGTCTTAAAAAATTTAAATGTAATAACAATGAGAAAAGCCCATCACAGTATTTGGCACATAGTAAATGCTAGGCCTGGTGGTGCAGTGGTTAAACACTCAGTTGCTAATAAAAAACTTAAAAACTTTTCCACTCATGTGACAAAGATGTGGCAGTCTGCTTTCACAAGGATCAGTTACAGCCTTGGAAACCCTATGGGGCAATTTTACTCAGTCCTATAGGGTCACCAATTATTGGACGATGCTTGTTACTGATTTTCCTCATTTCAACTGAATGACAATCTCGGCTCTGCCACTACAGTACAATAACATCCTCTTTGTTTAGTGTTCATAGGGTTTTCAAAAGCCTTTGATTTAGGGAGTAGATGACTCATCCTGCTTCCTGGTCTTAATCAGGGAGCTTCACCAAAACCTGTCCACAATGGGAAACCCTTTTGGAATTTGACACATTAGTGGCAAAGATTTCAGTGTCACAGCAACGTCATGTAATCACAATACAGAAAATTGACAGACAAGTGCTGCACCACTTATAACGCCATTCTTTATAATCTGCAGTTAGGGACCTTTGCACATTATTGAGGAGTAGTGATGTCAGTTTGAGGACTAAGGTGCATCTGGTTTACGCCATGGTCATTGTGATTACTAGCTATGAATCTGAGACCAGGACAATGAATAAGGATGACAGAAAAAGAATGATGCCTTTGAGCTGTGGTGTTGGAGAAGAGCACTGATCATTCCATGGACAGCCAAGAAAACGAATAGATATGTTTTGGAGAGTGTGCAGCCACAGTGCTCTTTGGGGACAAGAATGATGAGGCTTCGCCTGACATACTTTGGCCATATTGGTAGGAGGTGCTGTTCCTTGGAGAGGGACATGATGTTGGGAAGGATGGAAGATTGGCAAAGGGGTAGAAGACCCTCTAACAGGAGGATTGATAAGGTGACTGCTGCAATGGGTTCTTGTGTGTCAGGAAGTTTGAGGATGGTGCAGGATGAAGCTGTTTTCAGATCTTTTGTTCATAGGGTTGCTGTGAGTCCTACTTGACTTGATGGCACCTAACAACAACAACAGCACAGGGTCACTAGGAATCAGAATTACTCCATAGAAACAGGTTTGGAGTTTTTTTGTAAATGTTTATTAACATTTGAGTTTTCTTTTCTTGATTTGGTCACACCTTTCATTATAGCACCATTTTGAAGGTGGTCCTATTTTCTTCTTATCTGGGATGTGTCAAAACCAAGAATACTTTCCTCAGAGTGTACTTGTTCCCAGTTGAACCACCTCACCCCCAAGATGAAAACTTTTTGTAACAACATTGTTACATTGTTGTTCATTCCCATCTCTTTCTCTGGTCAAATGTTTAAAACCTTAAATTTGACTTTAGAACTTATTCAGAGTAAGGGAAAAAAAGGGATATCAGTATATATTATTAAAATTCTGGGACTATATGTTTTATAAAATAAGTGTAGGTGAAAATTGTCTTTTTCTGAATACATTAAAATATTCTTGCATTAATTAATTCAGAAATAAGAATATTAGAATGTGAAGAAATTAATTTGAGTCCAGGATACATTTATTTACTTAGGAGCTTTGTTGGCCTAGGGGATAGAAAGTGATGCTACCAAGCCAAAGGTGGGCAAATTTAATCTGCGGCCCTCAAGTCTGGTTTTAATTGTTTTTGCTCAAACATTCTTCTAAGTGGTATAGCACTGGTGGTTGCTGTGATGTTAAACACTGTGACACTGATGTGTCAAATGTGATAATGGTTACTCATGGTGGACAGTGTTTGGTGGAGCTCCCGGATTAAAACAAGCTTTCTGAAATAGCTTGCCTCTGGAACCTCTGTGAACTTGGAGAAATGACGGAAGTTATACAAGTGTTCAGGTCTTTCGTTCATAGGATTGCTATGAGTTGTCTGTGAATTGACAGCACTTAACAACAACAAAAACATATTCCAACAAATTGCTTACAAAATAGGGAAATAAATGTGATAATGATAAAATTAGTACATTCAAGCAGTTTACTGGCTTAATTCTCTAAAACCGTCCAGGGTGAGAAGAAGGCAGGACACATTAAAGAAGAAATATTTCAATTTTATCTTGAAGGATGAGTAAGATGATTTAAGAGGACAAGGGGTAGTAAAGATAGGGAAGACGTGAAGGAAAGGAGAGGAGATTTCAGGCAAAAAAATATTATTAAATGGATTAAAAGTATGGATGAACCAGTGGTTCCTTATCATTAATTGTGGTTAAATATTAGAACATTAATCCAAAGAATGTAATTTAGGACAATATAGAAAAGAGTATGTTTGCTATTTTATGATGGTTTGGGTTTTTATATGTTGTTGTATACTCTGGAATCAGATCTGACTGGCACAGGAGGAGATTGCCCCTCCTTCTCCTGCAGAGCATCTGATGGATTCAAACTGCGTGCCTTCAGGATTGCAGCTGTTTGCTATTTTAAAGAACATTATGTGTGGTTATTAAATGATTACTGTCATGCATTCTGAAACAACAGGGTAGGATAAAATCAGATTGTGTTCTAGGAGGTGATTGTGGAGTGAATTGATAGAGTAGATTATAGAGACATCAGAGTAGAGATTGAATTTGGGTGTAGGAGAAAGGAATGAGGCAAGAGGTGAAATGACAGAATTGCAATTGAAAGGGTGTTAAAATAGTTCTGTTAAGAAATGAGGCTGCTGTGGTTGAAGATAGAAAGAAATCAGAGCGATGGAAGTTGGTGACATGTTCCTTATGAGAAATGAAAGAGACAAGATTTCAGGCTTGTTTGTTAACATAATATTTCATTGGTTCCAGGAAGCTTAATTGGGAGTGAGTGCTAATATTTTATTACATCTAAAATTGATATGCCTCTAATACTCAAATTTTTTGTGTTTTAATTAGCAATACGATTTTTCCTTCCTTAGTTATTCATAAAAATAAAGGTGCACATTTAAATTCATGACATTTTTAGATTTGATGTAATTTGGTCTTAAACTCTTTGGATATAGTTTGTAAATGTCTTCTATCATATTCATGATTTTCATTATAAAGGTTAAAGCAAAATGATTTTGCAGTGAGTGTAATAATAACTTTTCACAAAATGGCTTTCATTTTTACTTAAGTGATTGGGAGTAATTTGTGTTTAAGTTAATTGCAGTGCTATAGATTCAATATTTGTTTTCCCCCCAGCATCTTGGTACTTTGAAAGTTCCCGGAAAGATATCTGCTCTATCGTGGGAAGGAGGTGGACTGAAAATTGCGGTAGCTGTTGAGTCTTTTATATATTTTGCAAATATTCGACCTGATTATAAGGTAAATATTAGGAACTGTTTGGTAGAAGGGTGTTTTGGTTTTTGTTTTTTTAAGACTGTTTTCTACAAAGTAATTTTGTTTGGCTCAAAATATCTGTTTCTAGAGTATATTTGTATTAGAGATTAACAGAAAGGGGACTTCTAGTATCTTGATAGGAAGTAGTAAGATGAGTACTTCACTTCTCTAATATTTTTCAAGTTCCAGTCTGCCCACAGGAAAAATATTAGACAAACAAACTGACCAGTTCTAGCAAATAAGGACCTAAGGTGATAAAATGTGATGATTAAATGTAACATATCCCAGATTGACTTCTGAATTTGAAAATAGACTTTAGGAAAAACTTAATAAGATCCAAATAATGTGTAGAGTTTAGTTAATAGAAAAATGTCAGTGTTTTTTTTTTTATTGTGACAAATGTTACCAAGATAGTATAAAATATTAAATGTAGGAGACACTTAGTAAGGTACATATAGAAACTAACTTTCTTATGAATTATCTTAACCTAGTGTAAAAGAAAAATTTTATTTAAAAAATGCAGTCACAGCTTAGTTTTTAATAGTATGCACAGTTATAATAATAATGCTAACATTGAATATTGATTTATTAAAAATTACAGTGTAAATATATTAGGAAAATTAGATAGAAGGAAAAACACGTGTATGATGGTAAGAGAGTGGTATGTGAGAGCTAAATTCATATCTTCTATAATCAAAACTAAAGTCATATTAACAAAACAGTATATGACTGTTTGAACCCATTGGAACCAGAAAGAGAGGCAATCTCATAGTAACCAAAACTAACTTTGGTTAATGTCAAATATGGACCATGGAGTTATGGAAATACCAAAAAACCTCAGTTAAAGAATTTTAAGTGCTTACCCTGGGGAGAAGGTGGAAAAGGAACGTTTGCATTTTGTTTTGTTTTAAATTAGCTGTATAGAATTATTTGACCATAAACCATGCATATATGTTACTGTGATGCAAACAAATATTGAAAAACACAGATAGGGCAAAAAGGCAAAACGAGTATTTTTGTTTTAGCTTAGGAACTTAGACTTAAAACTTTTGACAAGTATCACATTCTTCTCTCATCATTTAATAGTTAATTACTATTAAATCTGAAAATTTCACCTCTGAGTTTTAAATATTACAGATAAAGAAAATGGAATAGATTAAATTTATTTTTGTGACTTTTTTTGTTTGTTTTAGAAACAACTTTGTTACTTTTGGATTTTTGAAATAATTTTGGTAAATAATAGTGCTAAGCTAAGTCCTCTGCCTAGGAATGATAAACATCATTACAGTATTTCTATAGCAAAAGTATAAAATATGATTTTTATTTTCCAATACTAAACATCTTTCCCCCTCTCTTTTCTTTCCTTACTCCTTCCTTCCTTCTTCCTTTTCTTCTTTTCTCCCCTCTTTTTCTCTCTTTATTTTCTTCCTAGTGGGGCTATTGCTCAAATACTGTAGTTTATGCATATACTAGACCTGATCGTCCTGAGTACTGTGTTGTCTTCTGGGATACAAAAAACAATGAGAAATATATTAAATATGTGAAGAGTCTCATTTCTATTACTACCTGTGGAGATTTCTGTATTCTGGCTACTAAAGCTGATGAAACTAATCCTCAGGTAAGTGTTCCTTGAGATTTTAAAACATAGGTCAGCTAACAATTTGGCAGAGTAAGACTATAATTAACCTCTCTAACACAGCATGTCTTATTGGCCATTCAGCAAAACAGGATCTTTTCAGCATGTTTGTCTAGACATGAAAATTCTGTATCTTCTTTTTCTCTGTGTCTCCTGATTGTTTTACAATCATCAAATCTAGTGGCATTTCATGGTAATTATGAAGCATACTTAAAATACTAAAATTCTGTTCCAAGTTAAAAATCCATAAGAAAAATTAATAACTAGATGCCTAGTCTAAATAGTTAAGAAATTATGCAGCAGTGTCCATTTTTTGACACTTGCTTTTGACTATGAGAAATGTACTTTATTTGGAATTATGAGAACAATAATCTAAACCCACAGACCTTATAAGAAAGGAAATTACAAGGAAAGAGCTGAAATCAGTAAGATAGGAAACAGAAAAACAAGTAAAACCATCAATCAGCCTAGTCTGGAACTGGTTTTTTTTTTTTTAAAGGGTCAATAAAATTGAGAAAACACTGGCATATTTAACCAAAGGGGAAATAAAAAGAAGACATAAATAAATAACTTGAGTGATTAAGAAGTGATAGAGGTGACATCACAACAGAACCAGATGAAATTAAATTGGTAATATTGGAATATTATGAAAAGCTGTATACTCTGATAAATTTAGAGGAAATGGACAAATTTCTTGACAGTCATTCCTTATTCAGATTGACATGGACAAATGTAGAACACTTGAACATACTTATCACACAAGAAGAAATTGAACAGGTCATAAAAAGACACACTCTCTCTCTCTCTCTCTCTCTCTCTCATCCTGGACAGGATGGCTTCACAGCTGAATTCTACCAAATATTCGGAGATCTATCATCAATTCTACTTAAATGCTTAAAAAAAATATAAAAAGAAGGAACACTCCCAGAGTCATTCTATGAAGCAAATGTAACTCTAATACCAAAATTAGGCAAAAATATTACCAAGAAAGAAAACTACAGGCCAGTATCACTCACGAATATAGACGTAAAAATCCTTAATAGAATCTTAGCCAGTAGAATTCAACAGCATATAAAAAAATATAATTCATCACGACCAAGTGGGATTCACAACAGGTATACAAGAATGATTCAACATAAGAAACAATCAACATAATTTATCACATTAACAAAACAAATAAGAACCACATGATCCTAGCAATTGATGCAGAAAAGGCCAATATCCCTTTCTGATTAAAACATTCAGCAAAATGGAAATAGAAGGAAATTTACCTAACATAGTGTAAAGTATATAACCCAAACCAAGAGCCAATATCATTCTCAATGGAGAAAGATTAAAAGCATTCTTCTTGTGAATAGGGATGAGTCAAGGATGTCACTACTCTTATTCAGTATTGTATTGGAAGTACTTGTTAAGGTAATAGGGCAAGAGAAGGAAATTAGAGGCATCCAGATTGACAAAAAGATAGTAAAACTGTTGCTATATGTGTATATTATAGTGTACACAGAAAGCCCCAAGGACTCAACAAAAGTATTAGAGCTGGTAGACCACTTTACTAGAGTGGTAGAATAACAGGATCAATATACAAAAGTCAATGGAATTCTTCTACAGAAAAAAAAACACAGAGAAGGAAAAGAAGAAAGGAATACATTTGCCAACTACAAATTGAGATATATAGGAATAAGCCTAACTAGAGACACAAAAGACCTTTACAAAGAAAACTACAAAACATTTCTGTGAGAAACAATAAAAGACCTAGTTGTTGTTATGTGCCGTCGAGTCGCTTGCGACTCATAGCGACCCTGTGTACAACAGCCCTAAACTCTGCTCTGTCCTGTGCCAGTAGCAATGTCTCCGACACACCCATCCCGATTACCTCAGTCACTGAATCAGTCCACCTCATAGAGGGCCTTCCCCTCCTGCACTGTCCCTCCACCTTCCCAAGCATGTTGTCCCTCTCCAAGGACCGGTCTCTCCTCACATGTCCAAAGTATGTTAGACGGAGCCTCAGAATCCTTGCCTCCAAGGAGCCACCCGGTTTAACCCTTTCCAGGATGAATCTGTTTGTTTTCCTAGCAGTCCATGCTCAATACTCTTTTCCAGCACCACAGCTCAAAGGCATCAATTCGCCTTTTATCAATATTCCCTGTTTGGCTCTGACTGGCTGAGTTCATCTCTCGTGCTCCCTTGTTTTTTTTTTGGTCTCCGTGAGGGTGACAGCCTTTGACAACAACTGCTGTAATATCAACAGTTACAAGACGGGTGATGATGGCAGCAGCCAGAATGAGGCACTGTCCAGGAGGTCGTCCCCCCCTCCCCCGCCCCGGTCAGTGCGCTTCAGCATCCAACAGTTCCTGGGCTCACTGGTGCACATCATTGACAGAGAAATTCCCAGAAATTCAAGTTGAGTTTAGAAGAGGATGTGGAATAAGTGACGTCATTGCTAATGTCACATCTTGAATAAAAGCAGAGCCCACCAGAAACATGCTTAGTTTTGTTTTGTTGATGATACAAAGACATTCAGTTTTGTTGCTCATAATAAATTATAGATAACATTGGGAAGAAAGGGAAAGCTGGAACACTTAATTGTGCTCAAGTGAAATCTATTTATAGATCAAGAAGTAGTTGTGCAAACAGAACAAATGAGTAACTGACTGCATGATTTAACATTAGGAAAGGTATGTGTCAGGTTTGCATCCTTTCTCCATATGTCTAGGCAGGAGATAGGGAAATATTTCCATGTTTGTTGTTCACACAGTGGCTAGGAATTGTAGTCATGTCAGTGGCACCTAACAACTACAAATTATCAGAAAGGATAAGCGGGAATCATAGTATTAGAGTTGTCAACAGCAATTCTTTGGAAAATTATCCTCAAAATGCTGAGGGAAATGATTTTCCAAATAGAATTCCACACCTTAAGCAAACTGTACATTAAGTTGAGGCAGAAAACATTTTTGTATATGCAGAAGCACCAAAATTTAACTTTCCAAGCTTCCTTATCTTAGGTAGGGAGTTCTGATATTGGAATCAGTAGGGAGGTGTGCTGCTAATCCAAGGCCGTGCCTCTCGCTGTTGGAATGCTCTGTGGGCAACCTCTTCTGTAATTTGCAGCCTTGGAAATTTACTGAAGTAACAGCTCTGAGTCAACTCCAACTCTATAGAAGGAGATTTTTTGAGTTTCTATTTCTTTGTTGTTTTAAGCTGTCAAGTTGAAACCAACTCAGCTAACCCTCCAGAGGGTTTTCAGAGGCAGTTTAATTGCACGAGAGGAGATTGCCCATTCTTCTCCTGCAGAGCAACTGGTGGATTTGAACCATGTGCCTTTGGGATTGCAGCGCATGTTATTACCACTAGGCCACAAGAGCCCCTTTTCCATCTCATAAGTGGTTTATTATTAATTTTAGTTAGCCATTTGTATCCTAAAATAACTTCCCAAGATAACTCACTCAGCTCATTGCCATTGAGCCAGCCAAGGGGATGGTGAATTAAAACCATCAATGGGGCTCACACTTTTTGGTTAGTAGTTTAATTTCCAATGGACTGAACCACCAGAGCTTCCTATCTAATCTGTTTTCATTAATCTAGTTTCCTTATTCCCTATTATCTTCTCATCTTTGTTTTCCACCAGACCAATAGGCAACATCATAGTGGACAGAAAAGAGATTGAAAATGTCAACAGCTTCATCTTACTTGGATCCACAATTAACACCTTGATACTAGCAGTTAAGAAATCAGGAGACATATATTGCATTGGTAAAGTCTGCAGTTAGGGACCTGTCCAAATTACTGAGGAGTAATGATGTCAAATTTGAGGACTAAGGTGCATCTTATTTAGGCCGTGGTTTTCCCAGTCACTTGCTATGCATCTGAGAGCTGGAAACTGAATAGGGATGTCAGAAGAAGATACCTTTGAGTTGTGGTGTTGGAGAAGAGAGTGCTAAATATCCCATGAACTGCAAAAAGAACAAATAAATATACTTTAGAGATGGTACAGCCAGAGTGTTTTGGAGGCAAGTGTGATAAGGCTTCACCTCCCATACTTTGGGCATGTTGCTAGTAGGGGCTATTCCTTGGAGAGGGACATGATATTCAATAGGGTGGAGGTCAGCAAAGGAGAGGAAGACTGTCAGCCAGGTGGTTTGACACAGTGACTTTTGCAATGGGCTCTAGTGTGCCAGGAAGATGTGAAAATGGCACAAGATAGGACGGGATTCAGACCTGCTGTTCATAAGGTTGCTTTGAGTTGTTGTACTTGATTTGATGGCACCTAACAACAAAAACAGATTATTTCTTAAGAAAGCATAGTACTTCCAAGTGATAATAATTCTTTCATTTATTTAGAAAAGAATTAATATTATATAGTTTGCATTTCTGAAATAAATTAAGCCAGTTTTACTTAAGAGGCAACATCTATGTACGTGTAAATAGTATATGAATAATTGGCCTATTTTAAATTATTCTACAAGGGCTGCAGCCTTCAATATGGACTGAGGCTCAATGTTAAGAACACAAAAATTCTCACTACTGGACCAATCGGTAGCATCAGGATGGATGGCGAAGAGATTGAGATTGTTCACAGCTTCAGTTTGCTCGGCTCCACAATCAACACTCTTGGCACCAGTGGCCAGGAAATAAAAAAACGTATTGCGATGGGAAAGTCTGTGGTTAGGGACCTCTCCAAAATACTCAAGAGCAACAGTGTCTCTCTGGAGACTAAGGTCCGCCTGATACAGGCCATGGTTTTTGCAATCACTTGTTATGCATCAGAGAGTTGGACAATGACTAGGAAGGATAGAAGGAGAATTGACGCCTTTGAGCTGTGGTGCCAAGAAAACAAACAGATTCATCGTAGAGAGGATTAAATCAGGCTGCTCCTTGGAGGCAAGGATTCTGGGGCTTCGTCTGACATACTTTAGACATGTTGTAAGGAGAGACAGGTCTTTAGAGAGGGACATCATGCTGGGTAGAGTAGAGGGACAGCGCAGGAGGGGATGACCCTCTATGAGGTGGATTGATTCAGTGATTGGGGTACTTGGGATGGGTTTGTCAGAGGCAATGAGATTGGAACAGGATAGAGCATGGTTTAGGGCTGTTGTACATAGGGTCGCTATGAGTCGCAAACGACTCGACGGCACATAACAACAACAACAACAACAACCTGTAAAATAATATTCTTTGAACAAAATACAGAACAAATGAATAATTCTGAAAAGGTTAAAGTTGTCACTTTAGAGTAATAAGGGAGCTCTGATGGCTTAGTGGTAAGGAGTTACTTTGCCAACTCAAAAATGCATGGTTCTAATCTACCAGCTGCTCTATGGAAGAAAGATGGGCAGTCAACTCCTCTGTGATTTATTGCCTCTGAAAATTCACTATAGGGTCATTTATACATCAGTTCTGACATGATGGTACATAACAACAAAAGTATCAGTTATCTCGAATCTGTGCCAGGAGGGGCAATCTCCTCCTGTGCCAGTTGGATCCGATTCAGTGACACACAACAAGAAAAAAAAAAGAAATACAAAAAAGAGGAAAAAAAGTGCCAGTCATCCTTGATTATTTTTCCTAATATTAATTATTATTAATTTTTTATGTTATTATCTAAGGGATATTTTAAATTTTTTTGCTAGATTAGATTATATCTTTTTGCAATTAACAGACTTTTTTAATTTCTCTTGTTATATATTGCTTCAAAGGAGGAGACTGACATGGAAACATTCGGTGCAACGGTACAAATTAAGTTACCTCTTACATGTTGATTATAGGATAGAAATTAATTTTTCTATCTTATTGTAGCGAATGTAGAATATTAAGTATAAATAATAAAAAGTAGCCCATGTGCTTGAGTTTTATCAGTTGTACTCTTAAAACGTTAGTGTTCTGTTTTAGGAGAAATTAATGGTAGGTTAATCTTATTTAACTATTTTTAATGCTCTAGGTTATCTTTATTTTTGTTTGTTATTCTTTATACCTAACACTGTTAGCAATTTTCAAGTTAATGATACTTGACAAAGAGATAAGCATAATATATGTTAAACATTATTTTCTTCACTTTATATGAGCAGAAATATTGATACTCTTTGTTTTATTTGTTTGCAGTTTGTGCTTGTGCTTTGCAATTCTATCGGCACACCTTTGGATCCCAAATACATTGATATTGGTAAGAAAATGTTAATATTTCTTTTTTCTAACCAAGTTTTATTTATAATATTAAAAAAATCCCTCAATGATGTTATAAATGAGATATGTATTCTTTAAAACTAGGTATACCATACTTTCTTGTCTTCCAAGTCACTATCAGTTTATGCTTGTTGACCTGATAGAATTATAATATCACTTTCTCTCAAGAGTATCTTGCTTTAGACAAGAAGTCTCTCCAGAATCCAGAATAATTTCATAATTTATGAACTTGCATCTTTTTGCTTAAATAGAAAATATTATAATCTTACAAACACTGATTTGTAATGCAATTATTAATATATAGTACACTAAGGATTAGAAAAAGAATTTTATCCTTTAATCTACTTTTATTATTAATAAAGTACTTGTAGATATTTCTTGCCCATAACACACTTTAGATGCTTGTAAAATTGAGTTTGACCTTTCCAGATTTTCTAATGACAACAGCTTAGAGAAGAATTATGATTTTGTATTTTCAGCATATATTTTTTGTTTGAGTTACCATTTCTTCTGTACAGTAGCTATGAAGTAGTCATTTAAATAGCTTGAAATCTTAATATAAGTATTTTGTGTAACATCATTAATAAGTATTTTGTTCATTTCATTATAACTTCCAAAAATAATGGTTTTCTCTTAAAGTATATAATAATGTAATAGATATAATACTTTAAAGTATATTTAAATTTAAAAATTTTAATTAAAAGTTTAAATTTTTACATTTAAAATAGATGTAAAGAGTTGAATTCCTATTTAATTATCTTTTTAACCTGAGAACTAATTTTTAAAATTTTTTTTTCCTCATTTTTGTAAAACTTTAATGTCTTCTGAGTGTTTTCATTTTGGGCAATAGGAGCAAATCAACTTAAGAGAACACACTCTTCGCTTTTATTTCTAGGGTCTTGGTGACAGTCTCATTTTTATATCATTGAATTCTCCAATTTCATGACTTACGTTCATCTATTTTTAATTGAATTACAAAATATGTTTATATGCTTATGTAATATGTATTTTTATAATATGGTACTGTTCTTTGGTAAGAAGCATAGCTTAAAACTATAGATCTTATAAATCATTGAATAAGTTTATCTCTCTGGTTTTATAATATTTTATCTAAACATCACTTTTCCTTTACTCATTTAAAACAGAACAGTTCTTGATCTCAGAAGTAAATTCTGTCAAATTATAGAATATATAGTTTTCTTATAATATCACAGTTTTAACATAATGATGGATTTAGGCTAAAGATAATTTTATTATTATAGACTTAAAACTAGATTTAATTTCATCACTTCATAAAATTTCAGTTACTTAAAAAATGTCAATTACTTGACAATCTGATTTATTTGTATTCTTGAGTCTTAAAACCTTTTTTCTGCAGTCTCAATGGCTGCAATTTTAACAGTTCTTTTGTTAGTCTGCAGTAAATGCAGCCAAAGACTTATAATTTTTGTTTTATGTGTATAATTTAAAATTATTTTTGAAAGTTTTTGTGCCACATTTTTATAAGGACTAGAGACTAAATAAGAAATGTTTATGCGACATATTATTCTGGAAAGTATTATTTTTGTTTGATTTTTGTTTTATTCTTCATCCTGACCATCTGTGAGAAATATTTAAAAGAACTCAGTATTTTATTCCAAGATGTTCAGTTTTTAACACATAAGAGTTAAGCTTCTTTTTTTAGTATTCTTCCTTTGAGCACTCATTAAACCTTTGGCATACTGTCAATGTGCTTCTTACTCTATACTGTGACTATTAATTTTTCTTGTTGTCTTTCCACTAGAATTTGAGCTCCGTAAAGCAATATGTACAGTGGAAATATCTGTATTTCTACTACCTAACACTGCCTAACTCTTAACTCTTTGTTGAATGTGTGGGAAAATGTTTGTTTTCTATCACACAAATTGTTGTTGTTGTTAGGTGTCATGAAGTTGAGTACAACTCATAGTGACCCTATAAAAAAAAGATCTGAACCCTGTTCTACCCTGCACCATCCTCACACTTCCTGACACACAAGAGCTCATTGCAGCAGTCACTGTGTCAATCCACCTGTTTAAGGGTATTTTCCTCCTCTGCCAACCCTCCACCAGCATCATTTCCCTCTCCAAGGAATAGCCCTTCTTAGCAACATGCCCAGAGTATGTGAGGTGAAACCTTATCATTCTTGTCTCCAAAGAGCACTCTGGCTGCACCCTCTCCAAGACATATTTATTTTGTTCTTTTGGCTTTATTACATAAATAAACAATGTGAATCATTTATTTAGTAAATTACCAATGAATATTCAAGTTCTGTACTTATTCATTTTCCATTTTGGGCACAAGGAGTGATGAAAAATTAATGATGGTAATTCCTTTTACTTAGAGAAGGTTACATCTGAGCTGAGTTTTGAAAGACAAGTATTTTTTCAGGTAGCACTTTAAGGATAATACAGAAGCATTTGCAAAGAAAAATATGAAAAGTAGGATATGGGAAATTCTAGCTTACTTGTGCTGCAGTCATTTTGACAGTACCATTGTCGGCCGTGTTTGAATGCTACGTTGTGCTTAATTATGTAAGTATTCCTAAGAAAATTGTTTTTATGAAAGCATTTTAGTTTATCAGTTTTTAAAACCTTAGGAAATAAATAAGTAGGAAAAGAGTAAAGGAGAATAGTGAATATCTGAGATATGATTGCCTGCATTTATTTCAGACCTCAGCATTCATTGAAACAAGTTTTGCTTGTATGTCAATTGTTGGGTTGAAACTGAGCCACAGGGATTAGTTTAGTTTCCGATCTGAAAGGTGGCTAAGGACCATTGTCTCAGGAGTTCTATAATTCTGTCTACCAGTAGGAAGTGGTCTTTGTAGACTGTATTGTGCCAATGGTCTTGATGTTAACTATGTCTGTGGTCTTGAGCACCCAAGTCCAGCAACTTACTCCCTCCAGATGTTTGTTTAGAGCTAAGTTTTTATAACTTTGCCCTCTATATGCTTTACTGTACTCATGGGTATACTTGCAGCATATGTAAATACACACATAGACATACCCTCTGTCTACAAAACCTGCATGGATTTGTTCACCTGTATGTCTATCTCTGTATCCACTTACAGATTATTATTAGTGTTATTACAGTTTTGTGTGTATAATTTACCTCTGTTGCCTTTAACTCTAACTGTTGATTACTCCTGGTGTCTTCCTCAGCCTTGACAATTTTTATAGCTGCCTACTTTATTATATTGGGAGCTATGATGGCTTAATGGTAAGGAGTTGTGCTGCCAATCCAAAGGTAGATGGTTGGAATCCATAGGTGACTGTAGGTGTCTCCTCCTGTACATTTCTACTGCCTCTGAAAACCTACCAGAGGGTCAGCTGTGAGTTACTTACGACTCAGTGGTATACAAGAATAACAATAACTTACTTTATAGGTAACTCTGGTCGCCTAGTGTACTTCTATTCAAAGACTAAACCTCTTCGCGGATTCAGATCCTCTACTGACTCTGCAGGGAAAAGATAGGCAATCAACTCCTGTGCAGTTTATACCCTCAGAAACCTGCTGGAGGATTAGCTATGAGCTGGTTCCATCCTACCAGTAATGAGTTTAAGTTTGAGACTTACTGTATATTATCTTCTATCTTAGTTTGCTTATATTACTATAACAGCACAAGAAGATGGCTTTTACTGCATATTGCCTTCTGTCTTAGTTTGCTAGTATTACTATAACAAATACAGTTAGAGGGCTTTAATAAACAGACATTTCTTCTTATAGTTCAGTAGGCTAGCAGTCCATGTTCAGGGTGCCAGTTCTGGAAAGCTCACTGTCTCACTGTTGGTTGTGGAGGGAAGTCCCTGCTTCCTTCAGCATGTATAGGCCAGGTGGTTCCAGGAGATCTCCATGTGTCTTGGCCAGAAATTTTGTAGCACAGCAGCCCAGGTCCAAACACAATATAGTCCTGGTGATTATTTCTAACCCTTCAATTCACTTTTCTCCCCTTTTAGGCTGTACCATGGAGAAACTCCCTTTACTATGATTGGATTAAGGGTTGCATTCCACTCCTAATTCTTTTACAGTGGCTTGATTTGTCAGATCATGGAGGGATCTTTACATAGTTTCCTCATGATTTTATTAAATACATGTATTTTGAGGGGGATACAGTTCAATCTATCTACATTCTCCTTTATCCTTGTTAATTTGTGTCTTTCCTCTAGTGATTTGCCCTTCCTTTTCATCTCTTCCTAGTATCCATCAAATAATATTTCGTTTTATGTGCAAAACCTATATATGATTTTTTATAACACTAGTCAGATGGAATATTTGCCATTTTGTAATTTATTTCGTTTAGCTTAATGTTCTTCAGATTTATCCATTTTATAAGTGTTTCACTTATTTATAATTAGTCTTTAACATTGTACAGTGTTCTTCTGTGACTGTACTATAATTTCTTTATCTGTTGATCTCTTGAACATTTAGATTGTTTCCATCCTTTTCCTAAATTGTGAATGGTGCTGTGAATAACATGGGTGTATGTATTTATATTTATTGATGTTGTGGCACCTCGTAGTTGATAACATGATAGTGTGGATCACAGCAAGCTGTGGCTGACTCTGAGAAGAATGGGAATCCCAGTACATTCATGAAACAACATATGAGCAAGAGCCTATGGTGATGAAAGAAGAAGTTTAGGCTGCCTTGAAGGAAATGGCAAAAAATAAGGCTCCAGGAGTAGATGGTATACCAGTTGACATATTTCAGCTAACAGATACTGCCCTGGACGTGCTCACCAAGTTGT